TATATATATATTTTGTTACAAAAATTTTTTCTAACATATTATTAAATTGTATGCTGCTTAATGACTAGTTCTTTGATCTTTAAACAGGTCAACATTATAAAATGTTCATATTTTCTTAAATTTATTTGTATTTAAATCCCTTTAAAATAATGCTGACTTGTTTAAAGTTCAAAGAACTAGTCATTAAACAACGTTTAATTTAATAATATATAATAAAAATTTTAGAAAAAACTCTTTCATATAATTTTGAAATATTTTTTATTATTATTCCTAATAAGGAATAACGATATATATATATATATCTTTTTTTGTAACGTTACACGAATACGCAATTTAAAGAGCAAGTACCTCATTCCATATGCAATGGAGCCGTTGGACTGGAGCCGAATCATCTTGTTTTTTTCGGTGACATCATGTAGAAAAGAATTCTTGTCGTTGGCAAAGAATGTGTCTGGAACCCAAATCCTTTCTGCAAATTCTCCAGACAACGTAAGTTCATGGTTTTCTTCACCAAAGGCTAATCTTTCATCTTTCCAGTACTGGTTCAAGTAGAGAGTAAGAGTATAGTCCTACAAATATATTTCGCAGTAAAGCTTTGATCTTATACAATGATATTCAAACAAGATATTCTACGTGACATCAATAAGTTTACAGATTTCTGCATTGTCAAAATTATATTTATATTCTATTTTTCTTCCTTTGTATTATAATATCAATTCTAAATTGAGATAAAATTATTGATTTATCAACATTTCAAAACAACAGAATGTAATTTTGACATATTATATTCATTATTATAATGTTAATAAGATATTAATTGCTCAAATAAATGAATAGTAACGTTTTAACATTTTAGCAATTAACATAATTTGTTAAAATTAAATTATTTCTACTGATGTTTAATCATATTAAGTCATAATTATTATATGTACGTAATAAAACTAGGAAAGCCAATTAAGTTATATAAGTTTATATTTTTGTTATTCAATATTGATTTTTCTCTCTTGTTTAATATTTCTCTTAGTTTTCAGTAGAAAATAATTCGTAAAATAATACACGCATCTAAAAAATAATGTTTAAAAATGTTTTACATACTTACAACAAAGCAATTTTATTATGTAAAATATTTATACATATATTTTTAATAATTAAATGAGGAATTAATGAAACAAACAATCGATAATAACTACAGTAATTAATAAAATATAACACCTTTGACCTTTGACCCCTTTAATAAAGACTAGACGATTACTGCATTTTAACTTTTAAAAATTGCAAAANGATAAATTGTATATTTGAATGTAAATAATAGTATATATTAATTTTACTTTTCTCGGCTGTCTGACGAGAAAATGCAGACAAAGACGATCCATCATATAAAATACAAGCAATCAATAACTTATGCTTGGTTTGCTTGAATCATAAATTATATTAATGATAATAAAAAAACTCGAATATATTCTTATGTAATAATTTATTATCATCGAAATAAGTAGACCAGGATATCAAAAGTAAGCAGCTTTATAAATAATAAAAAAATAATATTTTATTAGTTATGAATTAATTAATTTTCTTATATGGGAAAACAGTTATTTGTGTAAAATTTTTGAATTTTAAATTATAGAAAAACGAATGATCTTCAAACCTAAGAACATGATAACAATGGGATGCTGCTTCAGAGAAGAAGCAGCATCCCATTGTTATCATGTAGTAATTGCTTCTTCTTGTAGTAATTGCTTCTTCTCTGACGAAGCAATTACTACAAGCTGCTTGAAACTATTCACATAAGGGTAGAAAATATCAAAGATTTCAATGGTATCATTAACTTTCAGCCGTTTTATATTATATATATATATTTTTAAAAAATAATTTTCAATAAAATTTTCTGTTTATTTTTAAATTTAAAACATACAAAATAAACATTTTATACAATGAAAAAAGAAGGTTTGTTTCGTGAAGAAAATCTGTTGCATGCTTGAGCATTTTTAAACACGCGATTTGTATTGAGAAAATGAAAAATTATTTGACAGGATCAGTATAAAAGACATCTTTTTTTAAGAATTGCATGAGTAGCTGTAAGGGATTTACTCAAGGAAAAAAATCTTTAAATAATATCTTACCTAAAGCAACTCTGGCTGAGGTAGCTTCGTGATTGATCCAAAAGGAAACCCAGGATAACATTACAATAAGAATGGAAGGCAAATACGTTTGGAATATAAAATACCCGATATTTCTTTTTAACTCGAAACTAAGAGAGAGTCTTTGATATGTTCCTAAATTGAAAGCAAAAATTGAATTGAAAATAAATTATATATATATATATTTATTATATTTATAGATATATAAAAATTTAATTTACCGGTTGCTAAAGTCTCCATACGATCTGTCGTCTCGTAACCAATTATAGAAAATTGTGGAAGCTCCGCTTCTTCCACCCCAACGACCGGAGTATCTGTCCAGTACATCACAACATCACGCACTGTGTAACCATCTTTGTGACGTGGCAAGAAAAATATATTTTGTTATAATACAATGGGAAATGCACATATATTCTGCTAGATAAAAATATAACGTATTGATATGTGGTAAAAATATAGATTATGTGCACTTCTATAATATAATATACATAAATTACATTAATTTGTGTATATTTTTGGAGAAATTTTTGTATATACACACCAAATACTTCTATGCTGCTGATTATCGGATAAATAAATTGAGTTATTATCCGCTAATTATAAAATTTAACAGCGTAATAATTATAATTAATATTATAAATATTTGCAGATGATATATTGGTGATTGCATTATTAGAAAATAATTGTTAATTTTATATATAAACAGTTCACTATTTCATTAGTAAACATTGCCTAAAATCAATATTTTTTTCCGAATAAAATGCCGAAAATATATTAAATTTTCACATAATTTTGATTGTAATCTTGTATAGATTTTAGAATTTTCTGAATTAAAAAAGATTTCTTAAAGACTTTCATAAAAATGATGATAAATTGTATATTTGAATGTAAATAATAGTATATATTAATTTTACTTTTCTCGGCTGTCTGACGAGAAAATGCAGACAAAGACGATCCATCATATAAAATACAAGCAATCAATAACTTATGCTTGGTTTGCTTGAATCATAAATTATATTAATGATAATAAAAAAACTCGAATATATTCTTATGTAATAATTTATTATCATCGAAATAAGTAGACCAGGATATCAAAAGTAAGCAGCTTTATAAATAATAAAAAAATAATATTTTATTAGTTATGAATTAATTAATTTTCTTATATGGGAAAACAGTTATTTGTGTAAAATTTTTGAATTTTAAATTATAGAAAAACGAATGATCTTCAAACCTAAGAACATGATAACAATGGGATGCTGCTTCAGAGAAGAAGCAGCATCCCATTGTTATCATGTAGTAATTGCTTCTTCTTGTAGTAATTGCTTCTTCTCTGACGAAGCAATTACTACAAGCTGCTTGAAACTATTCACATAAGGGTAGAAAATATCAAAGATTTCAATGGTATCATTAACTTTCAGCCGTTTTATATTATATATATATTATTGCCCTGCAATTATTTTCAAGAAATTTGATCTTGAATAACCTTTGACTCATGATACAAATCTAAAAATAAAGTCAGATTCGTGTTCAAAACGTAAAAATTCTGTGAGCGTAGAGTACATTTTAATATGAGGAAAAGGATACGTATTCCAAGTATCTTTCAATCCTTAATAACTAGTTTTTTTCGTCAGACACTTTGAATGACTTTATATTATCAAATTCAAGGTTTCCAATCTTATAATGTCGTAAAATAGCATCCTGCATATAGATCTTCCTAAAGAATATTAGAGTTTAGATATGTTTATGGAAATGTCTGCAATTTTGTGGCTTAAATTACTTCATTTTTAAAGTAAATGACGTCATTAAACAATGTGAATATAAGCTTGTATATGTATATACATGTGTAGACGTGATGTGCAAGTTAAAGCTAAGAATAAAATATTTTAGCTTTATTTTCGATAGATATAAATTTCACGATCCAAAATTGGGAAATTTCAAATAATATTTATTTTAATGCAAATAAAATTTGAAGAATAAAAATAAAAGTTAAAAAATTAATTAACTTTATGTGATATTATTTGTTTTACAGTTATTTTAATATTTTATAAATTATGCTTAAGTTTTACTACAGCTTCTGTGTTGANATTATATTTTAATTAATACATTCAAAACCTCTAAACAACGACTACTGATAGAAACATAAAAAATACATTGTTTGGGGTGGCCGTTATATAGAAGATATTTTGTATGCATTTTTGTTTTAAAAAAGAATAACGAACTTCCTGAAAAGTGGCCATTGTTTAGAGTTAGAGGTTCGACTGTATTATGAATATTCTTTGAATGATCGCTCTTGTTCCACATTTGAATAAAGATTTTCTGTAATATTATTCCATGATTTCGAGTACGAGACATTAAACGTCCTTATTCATTAACCTCTTTCAAATTTACTAATTGTTATATTTCAAATTAATACATTATTGGCGATTAATTATGCAGTAATTAATAAACAACAATCTCGAAAATTTATTGTTATTCGTATTGAATTGGATTGATGGAATGTGGCAAAGCAACACGTGGGCGATCTGCCAAGGGGTTGCCTCACAGGTGAACTTTCTGTGGGAAAATGGCCTCTATTTAGGTATCAGACAAATGAGAAAAAACCTGGAAAACTTCACGTGGCCATCCCATTGGTTAGGCGCAAACCCGCGACCAAATTTTAATGTTGGGTGATTACATCACTAATCCACTGATGGTCAAAAATAAAGGTCCGAAAATAAAGGTTTCCTTTACCATACTAAGCTAATTCTATTCTTTATTTAGTTAGACATACAATTCAATAAACATTATAAAATTTAAGAATTTCTTACACAACAAATTATGAATTTTTAATTTGAGTAAATACATAAATTCACGCATTTCTTCATTAAACAAGATATACAGTAGAGCATCGATTATCCGACCCCCGATTAACCGTCACATTGGTGAACCGACCGTTCTAGTCGGCAAATTTCAAATGTCCGCTAGTGATGTGGCACTACAATATTTGGGTATGTCTTGGCTACTTTAATATTATTTTTGTTAAATTTTTGCGTGTTTTAGCTGGCATCAATGGCTCGACCATTGAAGGGAGGTCAGTATTTAAACGAGACTTAATTTTCTAATTATGAGTGGTTGTTTGTTTCGTGAGCAATAAAATAATTTAAAAATAATTTTTAACGATACAATAGCGACGATTATTATTTATAAAAAAATTGTTAGGCTAAACATCGATGAAAATTCAACGCGAAGTTGGTTAATAGCGATATACTAATAAACTAATTACATGGGATATACTAATATCTTAATATACTATACTAATAATGTATTTTTTTCCTTCTTTTCGGTTATCCGATTTTTTCAGTTATCCGACCAACCTGAGTCCCCAGTTGAGTCGGATAATCGATGCTCTACTGTAATCTTAAATTTTACAATTTTTAAGCAATAGACTTAAA